GTGAAAAAGAAAAGCTGCTATTTTGAAGCAGTCCTTGTGAAGTTCAAAGCTGACATTTCTGAGCTCAAAGCTGACTTTTTGGTGGGTAAATGGTGTTAACAGGTCAGGCTGTCATTTCTCAGCCCAGCAATAAGTCAGTCGATGAAACTCCTGCAAACATTTAAGTATCACAAAGCACTGATATTTATACTTTCACTATAACTTTTTCTATTTCACCAAACAAAATGTCTTGTACTGTCCGATTGTCTGGGACTGATGTTCACAGATTCTTTTCAAGAAAATCAAAATCTGTTTTCAGGCTAAACCCTACGAGCAACAAGAAATGCTCAGTGCATCAACGGCAGGGTTTTCTTTGTTGTACGTAGCTGTAATAAGTCATTTGAAAACCACATCTTTCTAGAAAGCAGAGCCCAAAGGCCATTCACACATCCGCCTGCATGTGAATGAGGGTACTGAGAAAAAGTTAGAGAGGAAAAAACTAGAAATGAATATAGGTCTCGAGGTAATGAAGTGAAATACACGTGGACATATATATATATGCAGTATCTATATATAGAAAGTGCAAAGAAAGTTTCTGACAGAGTGTAGCAGGAGAAACATCCACATACAGGCGAGAGCTGAGGTGGGAGAGACGTAGTTTCTAAACAGGGAGCTTCAGAGGAGCAGGCGGAGGAAGAAGTGACAAGAGAAGTGCCAACCAAAACTAAATATAAGATTGAGATAAAAAAAGATCAATCCATAAACAGTCTACACAACAAAACTATACCAGTCAAGGAGGAAGGCAGAGGCAAAATTCACCTGAGACGCTCAAGATTTGAAGGACATCACAGGAAGACATCAAGGAAATGAAAAAGCTGTGCTGGAGTGTCACGCATTGTGGATAGATGTGTTTTATTTGCATGAATGTAATTTGAGCAGGAAGGCTTGTTCTTATATTTTTCAAAGGTTGAATATCACTGCTGAAATGTCCAAAGGACGATTGGTAAAGGTACAGATTTATGATTAAAGTGGCACTTTTACAAGAAAACACTTAGGAAATGCAAGTTCATGCATGTTTTGTGAACCAAATCGCTTTATTTCAAGATACACTCAGAAAAAATAAAATACTCTGTTACCTTTAGTAATACGGGGGCTTGTCCTTGAGCAGAGCTACCGTTATTTGTAGGCTATGACTGTTTCTCCTTCCAAAATTACATTAACCTCAGAAAATACATTACAAAGAACTTTCTATCAAAGTTTTACTATTGTATATAGGGTGGAAACAAGAATTAGCCAGAGAGAGTCTGGGATTGGATCAGTTAGGGGGACGTGTTATGAAAAGCAGAAACTCACCCGTTGCTAACCACAGCAGAGTGTCCAAAGCGGTTGATGTCCCGGTGCAGGCCTGGTCTGGGAAGGACAGTCCACTCATCACAAGCTGAGGACGAGCACATGCAGACACACAACGATGTTTAGGAATATATTCACTCGTGAGTGTGTGCTGCTATACTGCTGCAGTGTTTGAAAACCAAAACATAAATAACCCAATTATTGAGGAAGTGATAATGCACTGCACAAAATAAACAGACAAAGAGCTATTGTGAACATCACTGTAAGCAGCAAAATTACAGTTTTCCTTAACTGGTAATGCTAACGATAATATACGACTGGATAATATTGTCTTCATTTTTCCCCATGCAGTTATAATAGAAGAATAAGGAGAACCATACGTACTATGTGCAAGAGCAATGAGCAGTAGAGTGTGACCCACAGCTCAACCCCTTCCCCCAATTCCATAAGAACTCATTACCATAACCTTCTCATATCGAATTATGGCGATCGAGAGATGATAGGGGAGATAATGTGGGAGCTGACTTCATAAAACACATCATGCCACAAATATGATCATAAAACAGCCTCCTCTCTTTCTCTCTCCCTCTCAAGTTATCATTGGTGCTATTCAGCTCTGTGTGTTTTACTATTTGGATTTTACAACTCTCTGATGTTTTAATGACCCCTACATTCTCCCATTATATTAATATGGAAATGACTGAGTGACTGAATGTATGTGTGTGTGTGTGTGTGTGAGAGAGAGAGAGAGTGTGTGAGTGAGTGAGTGAGTGAGTGAGAGAGATAGATGGAAAAGGAGTCCAAGTTGTGAGTGTAAATGTGCCATTTAGCTATAGACGCCTTTCCCTAAACACAGAACGCTGGTAGAGTTGAGGACACCAGGTTGCTAACGACCTCGTTAAGCGCTGTGCTAATTGGGAGCGCTTGTTTAAGAGCGAGGGATGCCACAGAGGACGCAGTGACGGGACAGACAAAAAGAGGTTATTCTAATCAACGCCAAGAGCAATGGGTTCATAACTAGCAGGGGTTAAAGGTCATTCGTATTAACACGACAAGAAGAGTGATGCTGATGTAATCAGGCAGCTCTGAAGAACGGTGATTGTGCGGCTAAATTAAACAGCACCGGTTTGTAGGTATTTAACTCTGTTTTTTTTTTAAATAGGTTAAGTTTTAACCGATTTTTAACCTCCCACAGCAAGATTTCTCAAGTCTTTTTGCTCGAGAAACTCAAAAATCACTAAAGCGAGTAAGTTGTGGGCTTTGAAACGACCTCCCTGAGGAGATAATCTGCGACCTCCTTCAAATCACTTCTAAAAGCACATTTTTACAAACTCACTATTATGTGATGTCATTACATTTTTGTGCAGTCTTTTTCTTTAACTGCTTTTAAACAGGAAGCTCTAATTTCCAGCTTTCTGTTGAAATTCTGGATTCGGCTTTGCTAGTCTGTCAAAGCACTTTGCAAAAGAACCATGTAAATGGAATTACTATTTAATATTGTTTGACAAAAAGACTGATGAATAATATTTATGAATAAATAAAACTTAGGGATTAAACAATGAGAAGCAGAATACCAAAAGTTTATTAAGAACGCACAAAAGAAGGGCAAATAATTTATAAGACAGCTGCTATTAACACTAGACATCTTTACTCCAGTGTGGAGATTTATCCTTGTAGCATCTATTTCTAGAGCTTTGCACACACACACAGCTGTTTGTCAGCTCATGTTTAATATAACCTGCAAGGACCTGAATCAAATTGGCACCTCTACCTGGCTAATCATCACTCAGTGTGGGATCCAGGTGTGCACAACTATATGGCATCTAACATCCATCTAAAGCCTGAGTCACACGTGGTGCTAAAAGTTTAAATATTTTTCACTTGTGGCACTTGGCACTCTGAGCACCGAAATAAGCTTAGGCACTACAGGGAATCAGCAGTGAGGCAGGAGTTTGTTTCCTTGAGAACGTTCCAAGTTGTGCTGGCTGCAGAATAAAGCAGCTGACGTTTATCTTCGATATTTTATTCACTTGTTTTGCTCCAGAATTAATCATTACAACCAAAACTTCACTTGAATTTGTGCATCAGAGTTAATAAATCATGTTGTTAGTACTGAATATACCAAGGTGCGCTTGGTTTGTTATTTTCTCTGGACTGATTTACTGTTACTGAAGTCAGTGAGAGAGCGGTTAAAAAGAGAACGGGCCCATATCTTTTAAATAAGCAGGTTATTATTAAAGCCAGCTCTATTTTTAATTAATCTGCAAGACAATTATGACAAAATGTCAGCAGCTTCCTACGTTAATATTTCCGTGTGGTTTTTTTTTATGTTCACTTTATAATATAATTATTAATAATTAATAGGCCTTGCAGTTCTTGTGAAGCCAATAAACACCCTCGGAGACCTGCTGTATGTTTCATGTGATTTAGAGAATTTACCACATGAAACAGTCTGCAAGACACATAACTGCTAAAATAAGCAAATAATAACCAACAGCATCAGAAATATATAATAAAAAATAAGGTTTTGTTGTTTTGTGGAGTTCTCGCTTTTGTTGACCGAAATGTCCCAGCTGTTTGCAATCTGTGTTCCAATAGAAAGATAGAAAACAGTAAACAAGCAGATTTGCATCTCTGTGCTGCTTCAGGCAGCCCAAGGTAAACAGTTTCAAGCCCTCTTCGTGGTGAGAGGACAGATTTCTGATTGAACGCTTTAAAGTTTTCTTTTTTTTTTGTAGGTGACTCAACGTTGTGAATCCACCTCTAAGGGAATGGATAGTAACAACTACATGGACAAAAGATGGATTTTCTAACATAAGCGAAGCAATAAAATCTGAGGTACTAATTCTACTAAATCCTAAGTGGACAAAACAATTATTAAAAGGAATTAGCAACTCTGAATGTAAATGCCTCTAGGGGAAAAAAAAGTATTCTCATTTTTCCATTTTGTGTCCCGTCATTTTCCCTTTCCTGTGTCTTCCAGTTTGACTGAATCTAGACCTTTCTTTATGACAAGTTCTCATTAATTTGGGAAACCCTGACGAGGCTGGGAATGGTACCTAAAATGGATATGCTGTTAAAAGGATGAATGGATGGACTTATTGTCTACTTATTGTTTGAATGACACATTTCAACTTGTGGCATTTTTGAGATTTTACTTCTTGAGGATCCAGAGCTTCCCCATGCACCTTGGAAGTAGGAGTGAACTTGTGCTTGAAAGCTCTACTCTATAAAGAAAATGTAATGTGGAACTATGATTCGTGCATGTGAATCAAGAGCCTGATTGTGATGATGAAGCTGACCTCAAACCTCCAGCCACAGCTAAAAATCTTTCTCTAACAAGCTCTAAATGAAAAAAAGATTACAACCTCTGTGACTTTTGATCCCATCCTCTAGCCATAACCAGCCACCCCGAGACTGCTGTCAAATTGTCCACCCAGGAACTGCAGGCTCAACAGATACTTATCAGCCACAACACACATACAGTCATACACACACACAGACCCACACAGATTTTAATTTCCTCTTAGGATATGAGAAAATCTGTGTTAATAATGCATGGTGGGACAGAGGGAGAAATCACGAGTCCAGATCGAAGCAGCCGTGCGGCCGGGCTGATTGACAGTTTGATCGGATCTGTGCTAATGGAGAACTTGATGGAGAAAGGCGGGAGGAGGAGGACATGGAGGTTTGAACGGCAGCCACTGTCTGCTCCTCAGATACATCCCGACTTCCAACATCTTCCAAGCAAGCTTTCAGCTTGCCACAGGCCTTTCAGCGAGATCTGTGTATGTGTCAGGTGTTTGCGTGTTGCACACAGAGCGTGGGCGTGCGCCTATGGTGTGTCAGGTTGGAGAGGACTGCGTTTTTAATCAGAGTTCATTTTCCCCCAAAATCTAATTAGAAGTGTGAGGGTGGCACGGTTAAGGGGAAGGGAGGATGTGGGAGGATGGGAGTGGGGAGGAAGGAGAGCTGAAGGGGGAGAATTAAATTCAAATGAAAAGTGCCTTCCATGTCTACCTGAATCTAATGTGTGGCAGCAGAAGAGCAGGAGAAGCTAATAACGTCATGTCACCCCTCCAAGGTTAGCGCGGCAAAACAAAAACAAATTAGTGCTCCAAACGCCCCCGCTCGCAGCGAGCGCAGAGACAGGGAGGAACGGAGGAGCAAATGGAGACAAAACAAGGGATGGAGAGAAGTGACTTCACAGGTGGAACTAATTAATTATCTCCTGAAGAGATGCGACGGAGGGCAGAGCTTTAGAAAAGAACTTGTGCAGATCAACACTTTCTGTGAAGACGCGTAGATACGAAGCCAAGCAACCCCCTGTCGTAACTCTAAACATGTATAGTATTTTTCACAGCATGTCCTATTTAACACTAATGGTTTCCCCCATAAATGACCAAATTGTGCTCAGTCGAGACGCATTATTCAGAATGACAGCAATTAACACATTTCTCATAGACTTTCCAGAGACAAATTTGTATTTCTTTAAACTCAAGAATCAAACAAATTATCTGCTGTGCTTTTAGTTACGATGTTATTGTCAAAGCCAACTGATGTTTTTTGTTCTGCTGCTTGAAGCCACTTTAAGAAAAACTGTTTCTCAGTAACTTGTGTTCCACTGCAGGAAGCACCTCTGCACGGCCTCCTTTAGTGCCATTTTGGAGGAGAAAAAAGTAGCTAGTCTGAGGATTTTTGAGTGCCCCTGATAGCCTGCTTATAGAGGTTCAGCAATCTTAGGGTATAAGAGCTATATTGTGCTTCTTGTTGTGTCGATATACTGTTAGGATGTTTAAACATGCCCTGTTTTGAACACTGAAAGCAGTATACATACAAATAAGGGCAGTGAGCCCAAAACGTAGGAGGTTCTAAATGCTCCGTTTCTGTTTGTTTTTTTTTTTGTTTTTTTTACTCTCAGTTCTATGTGATTGGAACATGGGCAGTAACAACAATGATAAACCAGGATTATTTTGAACTGTGACTCACACAAAGCCACTCTGGAATAGTCTAACAATAAAAAGAGGGAGGTAGAATTTTATATAAAAGGTCCTATTTAGGTCTGAGGATTGCTGCCCTCTCTGAAAC